CCCCTCGCGGCGCCTCCAGCCCCATGCGGGCCGCCCCCGGCAGCGCCCCGGCCTCGGCCTCGTTCAGACTCCCCCGGCACGGGCAGCGTCTCATGCCCGCTCCCTCGGTTCGGACTTCGGCCCAACCCAGTCCCTCCTGGCCCTTTAAATCCCGAGAGGGGTGTGGCTGGGGAGCCCCGACTCGCGGGTTCCGGCCCGCGGATCTCCAGTCCGCCAGGCCACGCAGTGGTTAACCGATACTCCCCCTCCCGGGGAAAGCCCCGAAGCCCCGCCCACAGGACGTGGCGTAAGAGGGCGGGGCCTCGCCTGTCCCCGCCCTCCTCTCGTGGAGGGGCTGGATTCCTGGCGCCCCGGGCTCCTCCGGGGAGGGCTGGGCTCCCTGGGGTCCTGGTTGCGGGCCAGTGGGGCCCCTCCCTAGATCCCCGCGACTAATCTAACCTCCCTACACCCTTGAATGACGAATGTAGCCTCCCTATAGCTCTGGGGGACGAGTCCAACAGCGTGCCCTTTCTTCACGCGGGCAGGGACTGTGTCCCAAAGACTTGGGAATCCCAGGGATGTGTGAGTTCGAGACCCTCCAATGCCGATTCATAGCTGTGTTACCTTGAATGAGTGACTTACGCTCCCTACCCGGGCTCAGGTTTTTTGTTTTTGTTTTTCGGGCTCAGTTTTGTCACCTGTAAAATGAAGATACAGAATAATATTTGATTGTTTAGAAAAATGTGTGTTCAATGCCACAAAAGCAGAGCACTTTACCAACAGGGAAACTGAGGCCCAGAATAGCGAAATAATTTTTCTAAGGTCAAAAGGAGGTTAGATGAGGGGCAAAGCGAGGGCCTTAACACTGAAGCTAGGATATCTAGCCAAATCCTGGCTCCAACAGACTTGTTTACTCTGAGCTTCAGTTTCCTCACCTGTAAAAAGGGGATAGCAATGATAATTTTCTCACCAGGTTATGGGAATTTTTATTTATACAACAATATATACGTTTGTGTACTTGCTTTGTGCCCTGTACTGTACTTACCACTTTATACCCTATGCCTTGTGAGGTAGGGACCACCATCGTCCATGGTCAGGGAAACAGAGGCACAGAAAGGCAAAGTCCAAGATTTGAACCGAGGCCAACCTAATCCGAAGTCTGAGCTTTTGGCCCCTACTAGGTGATATAACTTGCTTTTGAGGCTGAGGTGTTGGAGGAGGAGCTGGAAGTAAGAGTATTTTCTCTAAATCAGGTCATGTGCCTTCTGTGCTCAGAACACTCCATGTTTCCAATCCCACTCAAGGTAAAATCCACAGTCCTCATCATGACTCACTATACTGTATGTGATCTGGCTCCGGTTACCTCCCAAACCAAATCTCCTCTGTCTTTTCCCTTCACTTATTCTGCCCATTGGCCCTGCTATTTCTCCAGAACATCTTCCACCACAGGGCTTTTGCACTGGTTGTTCCCTCTGCCTGGAACACCCTTCCCTCAGATATTCCAATAGTTCCCTCCCTCACCTCCTTCAAGTCTTTGTTTCAATGTCACCTCCTCAGTGAGGCCTTCTCTGACCACTCTATTTAATCTCACATTCTTCCTTCAACTCCCTGACCTCCTTCCCAGGTTTACTTCTCTCTTTAACACACATCATCTTATTAAACATACAGGCATACCACAGAGATATTGCAGGTTTGATTCCAGACCACCACAATGGAGTGCATATCGCAATAAAGCAAGTCAAGGAACTTTTTGGCTTCCCAATGCATGTAAAAGTTATATTTACACTATACTGTAATCTATTAAGTGTGCAATAGCATTATGTCTAAAAAAACAATGTACATATCCTAATTTTAAAATACTTTATTGATTGAAAATGCTAACAATCATCTGAGCCTACTGGAAAAACAGTGCCCATAGACTTGCTGGAGGCAAGGTTGCCACAAGCCTTCAATTTGTAAAAAACGCAATATTGTCATCCGGCTGCAGTGGCTCAGTTGGTTGAGTGTCCTTCCATGAACCAAAAGGTTGCTGATTCAATTCTCCATCAGGGGACATACCTGGGTTGTGGGTATGATCCCCAGTCAGGGATCTCTCTCACATCACGTCAATGTTTCGTCAAAGCACAATAAAATGAGGTGTGCTTGTACTTATTTATTTTTTATTATTATTATTTTTAAAAATATGTCTTTATTGATTTCAGAGAGAGGAAGGGAGAGGGAGAGAGAGAGAGAAACATCAATGATGAGTCATTGATCGGCTGCCTCCTGCATGCCCCCAACTGGGGATTGAGCTGGCAACCCAGGCATGTGCCCTGACTGGGAATCAAACCACGATCGCCTGGGTCCTAGGTTGATGCTGAGCCACGCCCGGCTGGCTGTACTTATTTGTTTATTGTGCCCCTCACCAGAAGCCAGGACCAAGAGGGCAAAGATTTTTGCTTGTCTTGTTCCTTGCTATGTCCCCAGTGCCTAGAAAAGGATATGGTAGGTGCTTAATAGAAATTCGAAAAGAATGATTTTTCCGTAAGAAATGTCTCTTGTGTATAGATCTCTCATTCTGTACCAGGCACTTTGCTCTTTACAGAGACTATTTCACTGTATCTCTCTCTCACTAACACTGAGCAAGAGGTGATGCCACAGCCCCATTTTACTGATGGGGACACTGAGGCTCAGAGGTTTGCCAGCCTCTAGCCTTCATTTATATGACCTCATGCATGTGAATAATGTGGCACCAGGCTTGGTACCACCTGCCACAGTCCTGTGAACTAGCTTTGTCATGGGTACTTTTTATGTATTATTACCTTCAAGAGTGAGCTGTCACCCAGCTCCTGAGTCAGACCCTTATGTCTGGAGGGGACAGGGGGAGGTTTCTGTCTTGAAATTGAGTCACCTGTGGGATGGGCTTTGGGCCCAGGGCTCTAAAATGAGTCATCTCATCACAGACCAATGAGCAGTCATAGCAGGAACCCCCTAGCACATCATACAGGCTGGGAAAATGAGGTCCAGAAAGGGTCAAGTCTCTTCTGACGTCACATAGCACTAGGACAGAAACAGGGAGATCTGATTCCTGACATAGGGGTTAGAGAGGGGCAGCAGTTCTGTGGGGGAGCGGCTCCCGGCAGTGGAAGAGAGGACCCAGCCAGCTGCTATTATTCCAGACTGTAAAAAGAGGGGTGAGTCAGCCTGTTGTGGGGGGAGCAGGCTTTAAGCCTGCCTGCACACCCCCACCCAAATGGGCTGGAAGCTGGTTTTCTGGGACGCCAAGTCTTCTGACTCAGCACTGGGAATCTTGGCTGTGTTCTGGGAAATAAATGTCAGGCCTAGAGGAAACAGAGTGGTCCCACTCAGGTCATCCTGCAGGTGGGAGGGAGCAGAGAAAAGAGGGAGTATGAGGGAACAGGGGCCCGGTGTGTAAAGGGCTGAGTGCGAGGGGATTTATGTACAGGGGGAAGAGGTGCGGGTACAAGAGGGAGACAATTGTCAAGCAAGGAAGGGGGCTTATTATGTGCAAGGGAGGAGGCTGGGTGCCAGGATGTGGGTGTTTGAAGCAGAGGGTGGATGGGCAAACGGAGGGGCTCCATGGCACGGGAAATGTTTGCTGCGAAGACGTATGTTCAAAGGAGAGATGTTGAGCCTGCTGGGGGTAGAAATAAGGAGGTTCACAGGATGTTCGTGCAGAGAAGAGGTGTGAGGTTTGTAAGGGAGAGGGATGTTTGCAAAGAAGACGGAGTAGGTAACAGAAAGGGCCGCCGCACACCAGGCGATCTGAGATGAGTGGAGAGGCATAAAAGCGCACGTGCCTGCTCTCGGCTTTGCCCTAGCGAACCGCCACGCGCCCAACGTCGGCCCCTAGGCTCCGCCCCGGCCCCGCCCCTACGCACGGCGAGGAGTTCTTGGTGCCAGTCAGCGAGCTGCTGCTCCGCCATTGGCTAGCTGACCGGAGAGGGCGGGCGTGCGGAGGCTCCCGGAAGCGCAAGAGGAGGCCCCAGAGCTTGTTGGACCCGAAGCCAGGGAGCTGTGGGTGCTTAGCAACGGGGGGAGGTGCCCAGAAACGGGGCAGGGGGTTCTCCAGAGAAATTGTGGGTGCCTAGCAACAGAGGTGAAGGCGGTGCCTAGCGACGAGGGAGGCTCAGAGAAGTGGAGAGGTAGCCCTGGAGGATCTGTGGGTGTCTAGCAACGGGAGCGGACAGGGGGAAAGTGAGTTTTGGGAGGTGATCAGGAAGAGCTATGGGTTCCTAGCAACCAGAGAGGGAACCAGGAAAAACTGCAGGGGCCTTCATCAGGGAGGAAGTCTTTCCTGGGTGAGAGTCTTAGGGCGGACAAGGAGGAATGTGAGGACTTGGGGTGGGTGGAGCAAGCAGGGGGGTCAGCCCCACAACTCCTACCGAACAATTCCTCCTCTTCTTCCCCAGGCGATGTGGCTGGAGGTCGGGGGCCTACTGCGGGGGACCTGTGGACAGCTGGGCCGGACTCTTGGTCTGCCTTGTGGGGCCCTGGGGTCTGGGCCCCACTGGTGGGTGAGATACTGGGGAGGGGTCTCCAAGGTGAAGAGCCTGAGGGGGTCTTCAGTGAGTAAAGGGACAGGGAGGAATCCAAAGAGCCAAGCAGACCCCATGCCTTCCACTCCTTACCCATGTCCAAATCTCTTGCAGGGGCCATGTGGGGCTTCTTGCGCCCAAAAGCTTTATCATGGTGGCCCTGGCAGAGGCCTGAGTGAGGAGGACATTTGCAAGGCCCGGGAGGCCCAGCTCAGGAAGACACCTCGGCCCCAGGTATCATTCATTGCCTGCCATCCTACCAGCAACACCCCATCAAAGCAGCTGGCCCCCCCGAGCTTGGGGAAAGGTGTGGGACAGGTTGGTCAGACTTCCTGGCCACTGTACCCACATTCCCACCCTCAGACCTTCTCCCCCACTTTCCAGCTGAGTGACCGCTCTCGAGAACACAAGGTGCCCGCCTCCCGCATCAGCCGCTTGGCTAACTTTGGGGGTAGGTGTGACTGTGGGAGATTGTGACCTAGATCAGAGGAAACAACATTTACAGAATGAAGCCACGGAGAGGGTGATTCACAGACAGAAAGGAGGGAGAGATGAAAAGAGAACAAAAGCAAAGACCTATAAAACCAAGAGAAATAGCGGGGCAGGGAACATTTATTGAGAACTTGAAAGAATGCGCAGGGCCCCATTCATGGGATCTCTGCCCCAGTCGATGATTGTGTATTTATTCTATAGGTGAGGACATGGAGGCTAAAGGAGCTGGAGTGACCTGACCCCAGGTTAGCAGCAGAATTGTTCAAACTTCGGGTCACAGTCTGCATGAAATAATTTAGTGGGTTGCAACCAGCATTAAAAAGAAGAATAGAATGGAAAATATGAGTGTACCTGTAGAGTAAGGGAAAATATTTTTTGGTGAAACATGTATACATTGGTCCCTACCGGTTACAATGCAAATGTCTTCCTCATGGTTCAAGCTTTAAAGACAGCAATTCACAGTATAAAGAGGAAGTAGATGCAGTGGTTAGAGCTTTGACACTGGGCTCAAAGGGTGATTCTGAGCTCAGGGTTCAAGGGGTGATTCTGCTACATCCTTACTTTGTGACTCTGGATGAGTTACTTAACTTCTCTGAGCCTTGATTTTCTCTTCTGTAAAATGGATGTTTTCCTGTAAAACTTATTTCACGAGGATGTGAAGACAAAAATGAATGAAAGCGTATAGGGCACCAGGAATGGTTCCTGGCATGTAGAAAGTGCTCAGAAAATGCCAGTTACGCTTATTTACAGAGACAGTGACAGTGAAAGAGGCAGAGAGACTCAAGATATCTTTAGGGACAAGGAGACAAGAGGACACAGAGGAAATCAGCTGGCGAGGCCATCAAGAGGAGGAACACAGAGAAAGAGGCCTAGATAGATATCCCAAGTGTAGCTGAGGGGAAAGATGAAGAAATAACTGACTTAGGAAAGGTGAGCATGAAGAAACAGGAGTCATAGGGAGTCACAGAGAGACTTGGGGGGATCATCTTGGAGCCGCCTTACCCTTGGCTATACACCAGAATCATCTGGGGTGCTTAATAAAAATATAAATTCCGAGGCCTCATCTCAGGCCAGTTTAATCAGAACCTCAGGGGTGGGACCTGAGCATTGTATTTATAAAAGCTCTTCACGTGACTCAAATGTGCAGCCAGGGGCAAGAACTGCTGACACAGGATACAGACCTAGAGAGGGACTGAGAGGGATGCAGCCTCACCTTGAAGGGAGCCCCAAGCTAGGAGAGTGAGTAAGAGACTGAGTTTGAGACAGAGATACACAGAGAGTTGGTTACACAGAGCTGGGAGACAAGTGTGCTTAGAGAGAAACAGGAGAGAGGGTTGGGGAGAAGACCCCAGGCAAGCGGGCATTCAGGCTCCTCTCTCACTGCTCAGGACTGGCTGTGGGCTTGGGGCTGGGAGCGCTGGCCGAGGTGATCAAGAAGTCCCTGCCAGGAGGACGTCTACAGCCAGGTGAGTTAGCCAGGGCCGGGCAGTGTACCTCCCTGAATCTTTTGCTTCCTCACCTTGAAAACTAAGGCATTGGTAGTTCGGTTACTACCTGGAGTGATGGGGATTTTGCCATAGAATCCAGAGAGGCACTTAGAATTCCACCTAGCACAGGGTGAGCCCCCAATAAAGAGCTCAGTAATTGTTAATAAAATAAATAAAAGCATATTGACACTTTGTTGAATAGTAATACAATTTGCATGTAGATCTGTGTACATATCATACAGCTTGCTTTATTTTCACAAAGTGGATGCATTTATGCACCCAGATCAAGAAACCTTAGAACAGCATTTCTCAAACTCTTTGGTCTCAGTACCCCTACACACCCTTAAAACTGAGGAATGGATTTTTTAAATGTGGTATATCCATACAATGGGATATATTCAGCCATTAAAAGGAATGAAGTGCTGATCCATGCTACAGTGTGGATGAATCTTGAAAACATATCCTAAGCGAAAGAAGCCAGACACAAAAGGACACATAGTGTATGATTCCATTTATATGAAATGCCTAGAATAGGGAAATCTGTGGAGATAGAAAGTAGATTAGTGGTTTCCAGGGATTTGGGGGGTGACTGCTAATGGGTAAGGGGTTTCTTTTGGGGGTGATGAAAATGTTCTGGAATTGGTTGTGATAGTTGCACCACTGTCAATATAGTAAAAGCCATTGAATTGTATACTTTAAATGGGTGAATTATATGGTATGAGAATTATATCTCAATAAAGCTGTTAAAGAGAATGAGGATTGATTTGGGGTGATGAACACACAATACAGTGTACAGATGGTGTATTATAGAATCATACCCCTGAAACCTATGTAATTTTATTTACCAATGTCACCCCAATAAATTCAATTTAAAAATAGAATGAGGACCCCAAAGAGCTTGTTTATGTGGATTATATTTATGGATATTCACTGTATTAGAGATTAAAACTGAGAAGTTGTAAAACACAAGAAGATGTACACATTTCGTCAGCCATCAGAGCAATGGTACCATCACTGGTCATGGAGCTTCTGGAAAACTCCACTGAACATTTGTGGGAGAATGAGAGTAAAAGGGGCAGATAGCATTAATATTATTATGATAATATTTTTGATCTCACAGACCCTCTGAAGGATCTCAGGGATCCTCAGGGGTCCCCTGACCATACTTTGAGAATCACTGCCTGGTTCTCGAAAAGTTTCTCTCATACCCCGCCCTGACCACTCCCCCCACCAAGGGTAACCACTGTCTTGGCTTCTGACCCCAAGATTACTTTTGCGAGTTTTTTCTCTTTACACCAACATAATGAGATGTGTATTCTTGTATGCATCTGGTTCTTTGAACCCATGTTGCTGTGAGTGGATGTAGGTTGTTTATTTCATACTGTAGTGGCCACACTGTGACTGTTCCACAGTTCCTTTGTTCATTGTATTGACAGCCATTAGGGATGTTTCCAGTTTGGGACTGTTATGACTAGTGCTGCAGTGACCTTTCTTGAAATATCTGTCAGTGGAAACATTTATGCACTTCTCTTGGGCATACCTAAGAGAGAAATAGCATCCGGTATAGGTGTGTGCTTTACTAGAAACTTCCCCATTGTTTTCCAAAGGGCTTGTGCCATGGCACTGCCATCAGCAGTGTTGGCGGTCAGGCTGTTCCACATCCTTGCCAACACTTGATATTGTCTTTTTTATTTTAGCTATTTTGGTGGTTGTGTAGTGGTGTTATACTGATTATTTCTGTGGTTGTAATACTAACGATCATTCTTTCCACCCTAGAGGGCAGTTCCCGGCTCAGCTCCAGCCCTTTCTTGTCGGAGGCCAATGCTGAGCGGATTGTGCAGACCTTGTGTACAGTTCGGGGGGCTGCCCTCAAGATTGGCCAAATGCTCAGCATCCAGGGTATAGCATAACCCTTGACCTCTGATCTCACTTCTACCTTACCCCACCCACCAACAAGCCCCACCTTCAAGTATTCCCACAGCGGCCCCCCTCGCCTCCTCCCTCACTGCTTCGCTTGTTTCTTGTGCCCCTGTCTCCCAAGACAACAGCTTCATCAGCCCCCAGCTTCAGCGCATCTTTGAGCGGGTCCGCCAGAGCGCAGACTTCATGCCCCGCTGGCAGATGCTGGTGAGTGCCCAGTAGGGGGAGGCGACCAGGGAGGTGGCTCCACCTGCCTGTCTCTCCTGGCTTTACTGCTGTACTCCCTATCTGACTCTGGGCAGTTATTGCTGCTCTCTGAGCCACTCTAAACAGGACCTGGCCCACAGGAAGCCCTTAAATTTTAACTCTTATTTATCACATTAACTTTGAGTTAATACCTAATGGGGCTGGGCCTCCCGGTCCACCAGTACCTAGTTCTCCTTGGCTGAGAGGCTTCTCTCTGAGCCTCAATTTCCTCATCTGTAAAGTGGAGTGGCAGCCAAGAGCTTAGCCCAGGGCCCAGCATATGGTGAGTGCTGGAGTTATTAACTTGTAAAGTGTTCGGCACAGGGAATGAACTCAGTTGCCTGTAATCATAGTGATGATTTTTACCACTGCTCTCCCCAGAGAGTTCTCGAAGAGGAGCTTGGCAGGGACTGGCAGGCCAAGGTGGCCTCTTTGGAGGAGGTGCCCTTTGCTGCCGCCTCAATTGGGCAGGTGCACCAGGGAATGCTGAGGGATGGAACAGAGGTGGCCGTGAAGATCCAGGTGAGAGGGGAGGCTGGACAGGTGATGGTGGGCACCCTGCTGTCCCAGAGGAGTGACTCCTCCTCTCCCCCCACTCCTCCCCTCCCAGTACCCAGGCGTTGCCCAGAGCATCCAGAGTGATGTCCAGAACCTGCTGGCGGTGCTCAAGATGTGTGTGGCCCTGCCCGAGGGTGAGGTGCCCACTGTAGGACGGGTACCCTGCCCAGAGGAGGTGGGGCTGGATGGAGGGAGAGCCTGACAGTACCAGCTCGGGCAGGGCATGCCTGTGTGACTGGTGTGAGGGTGTGTTTGAGACAGAAAGAAGGGACACAAAGGCAGGGGGAGTACAGAGAATAAGTGTGTAAGCAAAAGACAAACTTAGATTCTGACAGAGACACAGAGATAGAAGCCCAGACCAAAATCCAGAAACAGACACACAGAAGGTGTGCACAGAAGGACTCTGGGCCTGAAAAAGAGCCACAGAAGCAGGGAGAGAGTGCAAATGGGGCCTCATGTTTGCGTTAAAGCTGGTGAGAAAGAGCCTGAAGAAGATGGAACAAGGTGTGTATGTGTATATATGGGGGGGGGGCAGAGGCAGAAGTAAGATTCAGAGAGAATGTGAGAGAGTAAGAAGAAGACAGAATAGGTGGCATGTGTGACTGTGACAGTTGCCTTGGGACTGGAGTGCATGCCTGTGAAAGAGACCCCCGAAGAGAGACTTTAGAAGAGCCTACAGTCCAATGAGGACAGAGGGGAGGTGTGGGGACAGACAATGGGGTGAAAGGCTTGGAGCGGATGTGAGGGACAGCGAGAAAGACAGAGAGAGACAAGATTGGCAAGAGAAGACATTCATGAGTGGGAGCCTGAGGGGTTGGGCAGGTGGGGCGGGCAGGCTGTGGCCTTCCTCGTCTGACACACTGTCCCCCTCAGGCCTGTTTGCTGAGCAGAGCCTGCAGGCCTTGCAGCAGGAGCTGGCTTGGGAGTGTGACTACCGTCGTGAGGCAGCTTGTGCCCAGAACTTCAGGTGAGCCGAGCCCCCGGCAGGCCCGTCAAGGACCCCTTCCTTCCAGCATCCCTCCTTCCTTCCCTCCCAGGCTGAGTGGGAAGTGAGCCCTGGGGTGGGGCCGGCAAACTCTTTTTCTCTTCATTCATTTGTTCATCTGCTCATCTCTACCCTTATTCTTTCATTTATCCGCTGTGTCCTCTCTCTGTCAGTTTTCTCATCTGTGGAGTGGGTTGGGTAACCACTTCCAGCCAGTGGGGGAGATGATCTTGTCTGCAGACACTTAGTCACATAATGAGTTACACCTGCTTTTGGCGTCATATAATAAGGCTAGATGTTCACATACGACCCAACAGTCACCCTCCTGTCTAATCACTCTAGGGTCACTAATGCTATTGACCATCAGACTTTTCCAGAATGCTCAAAGCAGTAATAGCCCCAAATTGGAAACCACCCAAACCTATGAAATTCACCCAGCAGGGTGCATAAGTAAATTATGGTGTAGGCATCAGCGGAATATTATACAGCAGTGAAAAGGAATGAGCCGCAGCTACCAGGAACAGTGTGGTTGCATCTTAGAAGCATTGTGATCTGTAGCAATTATGCCTCAGTGAGATCCTCCGCAGGGTGGCCCACACATTTGTTGAGCCAAACTCTATAAATACAGAGCAAGAGAAAGGGCAGTAGAAGACAATGGTTAGGGGCATGGGCCTGGACAGACAGATGTGGGATCCAGCCCCGGGTCAGCCCTTAATTAACCAGTGTTCCCAGTAATGACTCCAATGAGTGTCACTATGGACTCAGAAATTTGTATAGCAGTGACTGTTTTTTGGGTGAATTAATAAGTTGATGAAAAAGTAATGTTCATGGAGCTTAATACACTGAACTCAGCATGGGGCAACTGGATATCACAGAAGTATTTCTGGTAAGGAAGTGGTAACTGAGTCTCCAGCAACTGGCTTAGGGGTAGGCACTGGTAGGCCCTGCGGAGATGTTTGTTGAATGAATGAATGAATGAGTGAAATGTCTGAATGAATGAAATGTTTGAATGAATGTCAGTCCAGCCAGGTATTGGCCATTACTCAGGGCACACCGAGGCAAGAGGAGAGCAGGAAGGAAGGCAAGACATAGACTGTTCAAGGAGGACTTCTCAGAGGAGGAGGAAGCCTTGAGCTGCGCTACCGGGGCCTAAAGCACCCAGTCCCATCCCCTCCCCTCCCTTCTGCCCCAGGCAGCTCTTGGCAGATGACCCCTTCTTCCGGGTGCCAGCAGTGATTAAGGATCTCTGTACCACACGGGTGCTGGGCATGGAACTGGCTGGAGGGGTCCCCCTGGACCAGTGCCAGAGCCTGAGCCAGGACATCCGGAACCAGGTACATGGTCTCCTGGGGCAGTAGGGAGGATGCTGCCCCAAGGCCAGTGGGGCTAGCCAGACCCACAGGCCCTGTCCGGGCCGGGCCATAGAGAGCTTTACAGGGAGAGATGACTCCTCTCCACCCAGATCTGCTTCCAGCTCTTGAGGCTGTGTCTGCAGGAGCTGTTTGAGTTCCGGTTCATGCAGACGGACCCCAACTGGGCCAACTTCCTGTATGACGCCTCCAGCCACCAGGTTGGTTCCTTGTGTTGTGTGTCAGGGTACATTAACTGCTGTGACAGATATTTTCCAATATTTCAGTAGCTTCACACAACAGTAGTTTATTACCCACGTGACAGGCTGGGGTAGTCCTCCATGTCCTCCATGTGATGATTTGGGGACCCAGGTTCCTTCCCTGCTGTGATTGTGCCATCCCAGGAAGGGCAAGAGATTGAGAGTGTAATCCGCTGCTAACTGTTTTGACTAGAAGTGACACATCATTCCTCTTACCATCCTGTTGATGAGAACTGTTCACACAGCCTGTCTAGGTGCAAAGGATGCTGGGAAGTGGAGTCGCTGGCTAGGCAGGGCCTTGCTTTCCTAGTGGCAATGTGACAGTGTAGAAGAGGGAACACAACTTTTGGAAGGCAGTCAGCACTACCACACTTGTCACTCATTTGGAACACACCAAGCACCTGCTTCCTCTTGACAACAATGCCAAGACAACCCTGATCCTCATAGTCTCAGAGTTCCTGGTCCAGTGGGGGGACGGGTCACCAGACAGTGGTGACCTAGTGTAGTTAGTACCGTGATGGAGAAGCACAGGCAAAGTTGTCAGTAATGGGGGACGCCCAGGGGACTGTGGGAAGCCAGGGAGAGGGACTGACCTGTCTGGGTGGGTGAAGTTAAGAAAGTCTTTTTTTTTTTTTTTTTT